AGACCAAAAAAAATTATAGTACAATATTCACTTGAAAGTGGTCCTTAACTATTTATAATCACATAAATTCCATTAGATGGGACTCTCTAATTTAGATTTAGATCCTTTTTCTGTTCCAGCTCATTAGCTGAACAAATCTAGGGACTGCGAATTGCTCCCCACTTGACCATCCCTTGTGTCTATAATGAGTCCATCTCAGGTACAGTTGTTGCTTGGGTTAATTACTGTGGACACTCTCACACATATGCCCACACGAAACACGCACACACTTGCAACAGAGATACATTTTAAAGCATCTTTTAGGCGCAGCTGGAACTCAAGTATTTGCCGAGCTACACATGATGTAATTGCCGTGTTCTCGTCATTCTGTTGTTCTGCTCTTCTGCCGGTATGCTGTTGTCCAAGTTGACATAAAACAAGTTAAGACCCAGGGGCAGTTTTAAAGCGTCACCTCATGTCGTCCATGGCATTCCCGCCGCCTCCATACAGCCCATATCCCCCCTTATAGTTCTTTTCAATCCCCTGATACACTTTTTGGGAGAGTGGTCCCCTAATGGACGCCTCGTTGCGTGCTGCCACCGGATGTGTGCCCTCCCAGACTCGTCCATGCATCTGTATCTGGGCATTGATGCTGCCTTTTATTAGCTCTCGCCGCCGGCTGCCAATTGATGGTGGCCATCCTCCATTGTTTGGAAGATATAAAACAAAGCGAACTTTTGTCCATAATTTCAAGGAAACATAATTTTTGTTATGTTTTTTTCCAGCACCCAGTAGTAATAAGGATATCATCAGAAACTCCGAACTTATTAACTCTAACCTCTCTGCAATTATTCATTTCAATAAAGAGGAATGTCCTTCAACGAGTCAAAGACCCTCCTTTAGGAAATTTACTTTGGTAGCAAGGAATTTGCACGCCTTAAAAAGATGTTCGTATTTTTAATGTCCTTTAAATTAACTGCAAGCTGTCAAAAGAAGTTTAATGGTCAGCTAGTAAAATTTCCAGTCATAAAAGCAACTTGGAAATGACACTAAGAGGGCCCAAGAGATCAAATAGAAATCATGGAAATCTTCAGTAGATTTTGTACAAAAAATGGCAATAAAAAAGTTTAAATATTCTGGAATATTTTCATGTCGTTATAAAATTTTACAAAAAAACAAACCAATTCGACAGATAGTATTCCTTAGTATACAAAAAAGTAGACCAAATTATCTACAAAAATATTTACAAAAATATTAAGTTGGTAGAACATCTGATTAGAGCAATTTCTATAAATTTTTTAGCACTTAACAAGATTTCCAAATGGAATGTACAAATGCATGTTTTTCGTGCTAAAACAAACTGACTTTTAGTAAAAATTAAATGCATTAAATTTGTATGGAATATTTTGAAAGAAGTTGAGCACTGAGCAAACTGCATCTTAGAGTTTCACAAGGGCACTGAACAATATAGAATTATACCAAATATCTGTAAAAACCATCCTTTTTTGATCAAGTTTTCCCAAGTTTCTGGGTTTTGTTCTGTTCAATTGTTAAAACTACAATCAAAAGTTGCACTTACAAATGTTGCCAATTGAATTTGGAAAGCACTTTCACTAGATTTTACACCTTTAACGAGGTTTTTCTTTTCTTTTCCTTTCTGTTCCTTCTTTGGTTTCTTAGGTTCGCGTATCGGTCACGCCGAGAAGTATGCAACAACTGAGCGACAGATCAGAGCGGCAGCGGGCTTTTATAAAAGCTGCAGCGCAGCGAGAGCAGTCCGAGCAGCAGCAGCAGCGATAGAAGCAGCATATGGATTCAGAATGAGTGGAAGAAGAAGCAACGGCAGATAGACGACCATCGGATAAAACCGAAACAGGAAACACGACAGGCACGACAGGCACGACGAGCACAAACGAGCAATGTTCGTGCATATCAACAATTGGTCGAATAGAAATTCTACTTTCTGCTGGTGTGTGGATAGGTGTGGGTGTGCATGGTGTGTGTGTGTGCAGGGGCATTGGTGTGCGTGTAGGGGAATAGGTGTGTGCGAATCCTTTTCGTGCGTGTGGGCGCCACTTCACCGTGGAATAAAAAAGGCCTCCTCGCCACGCAATTGAATTGAACGGAAATTCTGTTTGCATATGTGAATAAAACATATGCAAAAAAGAACAAAGAAAAACCAAATAGCAAAAAGTAAAATGGAAAATGAGAAATGAGAAATGGGCAGCAAAATGGCCAACTGGCGGACGGACAAACCACGTGCCTGAGCGAAAAAATTAATTTCAATCATACGCTTTTTTCTTTGTCTTTACATTTTGGGTGAATGTATGATTAAAATTGTCGTGATGAATATTACCGAAATTAAAATTATGCACTTTTATTGATATTTGCCATTGTGCATCAAATTAAAATTATTAATTCAGTCGCGGATCATTGAGCAAACGGGTAATTCTGAAAGCTGAACTTAAATATAAACTGGCATACTCAACTCTCGATAGTTTCTCTGGTTGTATTTTGATCATGACTGGCAGGGCTATGTCAACCTTCAAAAGTTCGTTGCATTAGCTTCAAAAACAGAATTCAAGTTCAATTTTACGGTTCATTGTTCTTATACCAGTTGTGTAAATATTACATATCAAGCTTTGAAGGTTTTTTGGGAGATAAAATTGCAAAATTAAAATCCATGGCAGAAAATAAACAGATACTATAAACTAGTGGGCATAACGATAGCACCCCTGCTGGAGTATAACAAAAGAAACGGACATATAATAAGTATGACAAATATATCCACGTTCATATTAAAAATGGTTAACGCTTTCTGTGCAATTAACGTGGGAATGCGTCATAAAGCAGCGACTAATTAAAGGCGAAAGTTGCATCCGCATGGTTAAACGTGGATGATGCCACATTTAAGCGGCACCGGCAACGACAATGCACTTGAGGCGAGGTCGAGGCAGCGTTCAAGATAAGACCAGCCACCCACGCGCCACTCGCAAAGGCCAAGTGGATGCAAGACACATCCGCCACATCCTCTTTACACCGAGAAAAAAAAACGAACGTTTTTGGAAGAACTTTCAACTAAAGCAGCCGGTCGTTAAAAGATGCCAATAACCTTTTTTGTAATATTAGTTTTGAGAAAAGGCTACATTCTTTGAACCCTCGGCATTTACTTGAAATGGATCTGAGTTTTTCCGAGTGTACTCGTACCCTTTGTGTCCGCGGGGCAGGCGTTTATTGTTATTGTTCTTGATGTTGCGACCACTACAACGTTTGCTTTTTTGGGCTAAAATTAAACATGGCAATGCGGCTGCTTCCTGCCCGGCATTCTGGCCTCAGCTTATCTCGGCCATATATCCTTCCTCCGAACTGTTTCCGTCGTAAAACTGCTCCGAAAGTGTGCACTTTCTGGGAAATTTGCATTTAAATTGCAATAGATATTGAGTCAGACAGTCGCTTCCTCGCAAAAGTTTCAATTAGCTTTTTCCCGAAACGGAAAACTGAATCATTTAACAGCTCCTCCCCACTCGCCGCCGACCAATATTTGCCCGAGCCGATGGTAAACATAATTAGCATTTAATTAAAATAAAATTGCCCATCGATAGACAAGCAATTTGTGATTTAATTATCGAAATCAAATAGGTTCCGCCGCCAAAGCCTTTGACGCTTGTACAAATAGCCGCTGAATAGATAAGGTTCCGCCTCCATTCAATCCGGCTGGGTGCAGCTGATATCTATGGAATGGCTATGGTTTCACCAGATAGCTACGGAATCGCTTTGGAATATACCCGAGCGGAACACACTCGTACGTACGTATGGGTTTAATTGGATTATGGTCTTTTGTCAGCGCGAATGACATTTTATGGGGGTCAGTGATAGGCAGAAAATGTATTCGTTTTGGTTTGGTTTCATTTCGATTTATTTTTGAGTGACTTTTTTGGGTGGCAGTACCACCTGTTGCCAGTGGCTGGGCCTGGTCGAAGGAACGGCGATGGAACTGCAACAGTCGCAGGTGGAAAAAATTCAATTTAAAATTTCATTACACGAAGGGAGGAAACATGGGGAAAAGATGGAAAAAAGGGACAGGGGGTTATTGAACAACCAAGACACCCCACTGAGTGGCGTCGAGGGTAGCGATAAAATGTTTAAAGATGAAGCTTTGATATTTGGATGGGAACAGAGGGTTGCCATCGGATCTGAGCTATAGATACGTATAGACATATGTGCGATATATGAGATTAATTAATGCAATTCTTGAACAACCAGCATCCATCCGCTGTTAAGCTGGATAAACGTCTAAGCCTCAGATATGAAGTATTCGAGATCGGAATTCTCCACTCGAATACCCAATCGAATCGAAAAATAATAAACACAGTTCCCATACAAACTCTACCAACTCTTCGAGCACCCCTCTTCATTCCTTGCTTTTTTGTTGTCTTTCAGATTGCAACGATATTTGTCAGCCATTTATTGTTGAGCAAATAAAACGTATTTGTCGGCCATATGGATGAGCGCAACACAATTGATTTATACGATTCGCGACTTCGATATTGAGAGTAGCAAAAAACGAGAATGAATGGATTACTAGAACCTTTGAATACCCATTAATATTTGACATTTTCTTTATATACGATAGTAATCCCATATTGATCAAAATATTACCACTTTGTCATACGATTTCTTATTCAAATCTATTGAATTAGGCCGTAACAAATCTTCCGGTGCTGATAGCAAATTCAACATTGCAGGGTAATAAATCGACCCATCTACACAAATAGTATGGCAATCAACCTGCGCAATATTGTTATGCACTTTGTAAAGGTCATACAAAAGATAAATGGATTATCAGAGAACACGTACTATTTGTAGGTATATTTTAAAATTGCAATTTCAGTTAGGGATTACATGGTTAAAAATGTAGTGAGTATTTAAGGCTAAGAATAGAACTAAACAATTAGACAACTGGAATGATAACCACTAAACAATTTTCAGAGAAATACTCGTACACTTTATGAACAATTTCGTTAGCTGGAGAGCTGCTGGAGGTGAGCTGAGCCGGACACGGTGCGGCCCACTAAAGCTTGATTACACTCAACAAAACAAATCAATTCTAGACTATATCATTTGAAATTCACATTAACTACCTAAGTGAGGGGCTAGAGAAACGGGGTTTGGCTGGGCGGTGGGGCTATTCGATCCGTATAACACCCGCCCCGACGCCTCCGCTGTGGGCACACATGGGTGGCATAAAAGTCCATTTGTCTGTCTCCGGATCGTACACTTCCACCGTGGATAGATTCGATTCGCCATCGTAACCGCCAATGGCCCACAGTTTGCCCATATTAGCAGCCAATGCAACTCGCGAGCGCTTGCAGTTCATGGGAGTGACGAGTTTCCAGGTGTCGGTCTGTGGATCGTAACACTCTACGGATCGCAGGAAAGAGTTGCCACAGTAGCCCCCGCACACGTAAATCTTGCCATTGAGCGTGGCCACGCCCAGGCGACAGCGACGGTTCAGCATGGGCGACATTTTCACCCAGGCGTCTTCGTTTTGATCATAGCGTTCCACCGAATCGAATATAGACAGTCCATCGTGTCCGCCCAACGCATAGACAAACCCGTTTAGCTGGGTGACTCCACCGGCCGAGCGATACTTCATCATTTGAGCCACCTGTAGAGGAAGTTCGTTGAATAATTTGTTTTCCAATCTAATCAGAAATTTATTCGACTCACCGTCTTCCAAGTATTATTCTTGGGATAGTAAACCTCAACGGTGTTGAGGGAGGTGACGCCATCATATCCCCCGCACACATAGATGCAATCGTCCAGAGCGGCCACGCCCACGGCACTGCGTTTGCAGAGCATGGCACATCCTTGAGACCATTTGTTCTTACGCGGATCATAGACCTCCACGGTGGAGAGGCGTTCAGTGCCATTGAATCCGCCGAAAGCGTATAGTTTACCGTCTAGAACGGCCACACCCACCCGAGATCTGCAAAAGAATGGAAAGCAATTAATTAATTCAAGAAAAAAACATTTTTAGGGCACTCACCTCATCATGGACATTTGTTCACCCATTTTCCATTTCTTTGTAAGAGGATCGTATATCTCTACCGTGCTCACGGACTCCCCAGTGCTGGCCAATCCACCGACGGCATATATCTGTCCCGTAAAGAATTCTCCACATCGCTGGCGAGTGCGAAAACTCTGGAGCAACCCCCGACGTTCGGGCATCAGATGAAAGTCCTTGGCCTCGTCCAGCAGATCCCGGCATTGGTGCGAGGTTTTGATGAGCTCCTCCCGGGCCACTCGGTCGGCCAGGAATTGGGGGGATAGCAGAGGCAGACGCACTGCGGCCAGGACCTGAGGGAACAGCTCCGATCGCTTGTCCTCCGCGTACTTTACCCACTTCATGCAGGCCTCGAAGATCACCTCCTCGGTACGGACATTGAGCTCGTCGCGTCGCATCAGTTCTAGCAGCTGGTCACAGTCGAGGGTGAGGAACTCCTCCGACTGAGAGACTTTGGCAAAGTTCTGATCGATGTACTTGTCGGCAGCATCGATTAATTGGCGGCAGATCATGGAGTCAGCAAAAGTGCGTATGCCCAGGACATTGTGGGGATGGAAACGTGAGATCAGAAAGTTGGCACAGGCATCTCGAACATTGGATAATTGCAGAAACGACGCCCCGACCATCAGGCTCTGGACATTCTGATTGTCGATGCGCACCTGGCCACTGTATACGTAGTTGATGAGGCTCTCCAGGGCACTGGGCTCGATGGCACTCTCCTTCATAGTGATTTCCTTAATCCGACTCTCGGCCATGTTGTTGGTGAACATGGCATAAAAGTATGGTATCGTGGCAGCCAGCACTACGCGATGTGCCGAGAATGTTTGATCTTCCACCTGAAATATTTAGAATGGGATTTATATTTAGACAATAGATAATGTCAGCAAATGCATTGCTGCTATGGGCAGCGAAATGGTGACTGCAGACTGTGGGGGTGATTGCTCGCAACCGACCTTCAGCGTGACATCGCAGAGTTTGCCCAGTCTTCGTATCTCCTTGAATAGCGGGAAGCTTTCCCCAAACAGCTGCTCATGTTTGTATATGAAATATTGATCCTCCAGTTGGCTATTATCACTTAAATCCATCACGAATGAGGAAATATGATAAGAACACAGTCGGACAGTCTGAGACCCTTAGAAATATACCGAAATATACCGTCTTGTTTTCAACATATAATGTAAATATACTGATGATAAAACGAACTTAGCCCACTGAAGCCCCTCTATTTAAACAGTTCAATGACTTGAGGTTAATGTCGGAAAATATTACTGATTGTAAATTCTTCTTGTAGATCCATGCCATCTTTCCTCTGAACTCAAAAAAAGCCACCAAATCTTTCACCTGAACTGCGTTAAGGTTATTTAATTTTGGTCTACAATGGTCTACAGCTACCCTATGGCATTGCATATTTTGCACTCGCACGCCCTGACAACCCTAACAGCTGACGACAATTGCTGATTTGTAGGGTCCAAAGCAATATAATTTCTTAACAATCCAACACGCTCCCTGCCCACCCCAAAGACATAAACAACAGAAATTTGCAACATAAATGCATATGCCAGGGTTAGGAGCTGAAACGGCAGGCGCTAGCAAGTAACATGGACACCGCATCACCGAGGGACACCAATCAGGTCTGGATCAAAGTGACGACGTCGTTGGTGATGACGTCTCATCTTCTTTTAATTTGCATTTGCAGAAGAACGCGAACCCAATCGAAGCACTGAGCAAAGATGAAATCATCAGCAAATACAAAGGCCTGCTCAACATTGCCAAGAAAGCAAAGCTTGCAAAAGATGGTATGTGGAGAAGTTTCTAGAAGAAGCATTCATCATATTTTCCCTTCACAGAACTCACGGAAGAGAATCGCCAGCTCAAGGAGGCGCTTAAGCGTGCCGCCGAGAAGCAGAACACGCTGCCCGCCATGCAAGAGATGGTGCAGGACTTTACAGACAAGAATTTAATCCTTACAGAGCAGGTCAATAGCTTGAAGCTCAAGACCAAAGACGATGCCGATCGGCTGGGACAGCTGGAGATTGAGAACGAGAGTCTAAGGCGACAGCTGGGACGACTCAGTGATGAAAACGACGACCTCCTGGGGGATGTGGACCGTATGGAGAAGGCCATGCAGCAGGTCAATGCCTTGGGTAACGAGCAGCGCAAGAATCTGGAGCTCCTAGAGGTGGACATAGTAAAAATCAAGGAAGTCGAGGCGGAAAACGACACCCTCCGCCAGGAATTGCTGGCAGCGGACAAGAAATCCGAACTGCGCGCCAGCGAACTCCAAGAGCTGCAGGAAAAGTATCAGCATGTCAAGGATCTAAACTCGGAGCAGCGTAAAAAGTTCAATTCCCTGAAGGATCGCTTCATTGATGTCCACCGCAAGCTGAAGAAGCTCAAGGAGTGCCGCTGTGTCCTGCTTGAGACGCAGCACGAGTACGCGGCATCCGTGTCCAAGTGGCAGGAGGAGATCATCAGTGCCTCGCAACTGCTGTGTGACAAGATGACTTCCCTGCACGAGGAGAACGAGATGCTGAAGAAAGAATCGGAGCTGGTCGCCAAAGAAACGCGCAACAGTGATTCCGGCATCGATAGGGAGCGTTTGCTGCTCAGGATCAACGACCTTGAACGCCTGACCAAGATTGTGAAGCAGCAGAAAAACGGGCTGGATGTTGAAAGCCTGCTAAAGAAACTTATCGCTGCCGAACAGTTGGCGGCAACGGTCAGAGAGCAGCACAAGGCAGAGGTGGACAGATTGTCTATTTTATTGAGCGATCAGCAGAAAAAGGATAAGGAATCCTCGAATCTGAATATCAGCGTGTTTGGAACCAAACTGGATCAATTGCAAAGCATTGTCAAAAGTCTCCAGGTGGAGCGTGATACTCAGGAAATTAAAGTGGAGGACCTCGAAGGTGCTTGCGTAGCGCTCGCACAACACAATGAGGATCTGTTCACGCGTTTACGTCTGAAGGAAAAGGAGCACACGGGATTGCTGGGCGAGATGCGAGAGCTAAACGAGGCACTCAAGGGTCGTGGCGATGTCATCTCACGTCTGCAAGAGCAGCACGACGTGGAGGTTAAGAAGTATCGAGAACTGGAGGTGAATCTCTCTGAATGCCAGCAATCGTTGTGGGAAAAGTCTCAGAAAATCGAGCAACTTCAGACGAAAGTCGAGGAATTGGAGCAGGCGAATGCGGATGCGCAGAGTGACGTCCTGTCCACGTCGACAATATCACGAGCCGAGGAATTAAGTCGTCTGCGAGAACTAGACGAGGGCTACGAGGAGAAATACCATAAACTGCGTGCCCTTGCTGCCAAACTGAAGAAGAAACTCCAGGAACAGGCGCAGCAGATCAAGGAGATGGATCAGGATACAGCCATGAAGGAGGAACTGGAGGCCCTCAAGCTGGCCCAGGCACAGCTGCAGCAGGATTTGAATTCCGCCCGAGCGGAGAACCAAAGACTAAAGTCCAAGGAGAAGACAAAGAACACAAGTGTCCTCAATCTAGAGATAGAAGCGGCCGAGAAGTCCCTGGCCGATGTTAGTGCCAAGCTGACGGCTAAATCAAACGAACTGGAGACTGTCAAGGAGGCCCTGGAGGGCAAGGAGAGCACTATCGCTCAGCTTCGCAAGGAGATCGCTATACTCGAGCAGGCCAAGAACGGAGAAGCATCTCATTCCCAGCAACTGAAGGAGCAGATCGACCGCATGCAAGTCCAGGTAAAAGATGCCGTTCACGGCAAGCAGCAGGCCCTCACCCAAAACAAAGAGCTGGAGCACAGTGTGGAGCAGGCCAAGCTTGAGGCTGAACAAATGCGTCTACAGCTGGCGGATAGCGCCCAGCAGTACGAGTCAAGGCTGAGCAAGGCGAATCAACTGCTGGAAAGTCGGACGGAGCAGCTGGAGGCCCATTTGGAGCAGCACAAGCAACTGGAGACTAATCTTAAGAATGCAGAGCGTGCCCAGGAAGATCTTCGAGTGGAATACACAGAATACAAGCTCAAAGCGCAGGCTGTGCTGCGCAAGAACCAAAACAAGGGCTCCAACAAGGAGCAGGAGCTGGAGGATGAACTGAGCGTGCTGCGGGAGAGCGAAAAGAGTCTGCGTGCCAGCAATGATGGCATGTCGGCGAGACTAGCCCAACTGGAGAGCCAACTAGAGGCTCTGCAGCAGGACAATGCGGATCTGCAGAAACGTAGCAGAGAACTCCTAATACTGGTGGACGATCTGCGTCAGCAGAACGACACCGTAACGCTGGAAAACCAACGCCAGGTGCAATTCCAGCACGACCTTATGCAGCAGCATCGCCAACAAATGGACCAAATGGATGTCGGCTACCAAGCACAGCTGAAACAGCTCGAACAGCAGCTAGAGAATTCCCAGCAGAGCCACAAGAAGGTGTCCTCACATAACAATGCAGCTGCAGCGGCTGCAGAACCCAGCTTGGAGCAGGCCAAAATCGACCTACTGATGGATCACGACATCACCATCGATGGTCCGTCGGGCGAGACCTCTCTCGCACAACTGGCTGCCCAGCGTAAAATCTCCACTGCCTCGAGACGCTCCCACGACTTTATGCCACTGGACGAGCTGCTCAACACTTCTATGAACCAAATCAGCAGCGACACTGTTACGACCATTTCCCACTTTGGACGCAGCGTTTCCATGCAGGAGGATGACGAGGCGGAACTGGCGGCCGGAGGCGACTTCTCTGCCCAGGTTGCCCAGCTGCAAGCCACCAAAGAGCGGCTGGGCATACAGGAGAGTCGTGTCAAGCATCTGACTTCCCTCCTGGCCGAAAACGAACAGGATCTGGCCAAGTTGACGCAAATGAATGATATGCTCAAGGAGGAGCTGCGCCGGCAGGAGCGATCCGAGGAGCGGGAGCAGCATATGCATAATTCCGAGTACTTGAAGAACGTCTTCTTAAAGGTAAATAGATATTATCTTTATATTTCTAAAGTGATTGGTTGAAAATCTATGAAATTTCAGTTCCTTACCTTGAATAATGCGGATGAGCGTCAGCGTTTGGTTCCCGTGCTTAATACCATTCTCCGCCTGAGCCGCAACGAGATGGAGATGCTCAACTGCGTGGCCAAGGGACAAAAGGGTGACTATCCTCTGAACATATATGCAAGATTTGTAGTAAATCGTTTACTTCGTTTTTATTTCAGTGTCCAATGATGGTAACAATCGCAGCTGGACTGGCTTCCTCACAGCGTGGAGCGGAGGCGGCGGCAGCAGCGGTGGAGGCCAAAATGGGAACAGTTCTTAAATATATTTGTTGATGGTATTATTGCCTGTTGTATGATGGTAGGACACTCTATAACATTGGCCAGTTCTGTACTATAAATGTGCTGTAAATCTTGTACAATTCCTTTTGTATTAACGTATTTTAAAATTGTCCGTTTGCTGTTTTTGTATACCATACTTTATACAGTACTGTATTCATATATCCATTGTATTGAGCGCCCTATACAGCACTCTATGAGCAATATACACAAGATTGGAGATTCCTTGTTTTTTAAAAATGAATCCAGCCGAGAGTTTGTTTAATTTGAAATTCTATTACCATATAGATCAGACTATAAATCAATGCTAGCGTTGTCTATTACTTAGTTTCGTATTACGTTTATCGTATGTACTAAATATATATATAAACTATATATAAATAGGATCGGTAATTATGCATACAATTAAATTTACTAACTGTGTATATTGTTCACACAGGAATACATCATTTATACATATATAATTAAAACACGATGAATTAAAACCAAAAATAATAACCATGAGGAATCAAGTAAAACAGAATCAATTCGGGGAATTCGGGACCGAAGCCAGCTTTCCCCCGACTTGTTCAGTCAAAATCTTTAGGTGAACCCATTTAGTTCTGACTATGTAATACATACCTAATCGTTTGCTTATTTTAAAAACGATGAACCGGCCAATTGCCTGCCAAAGTTTGAGCGAAGAAATCAAAGATCACAAATCAACAAATTACTTTAAATTTAAACGCTAATCAGTTTGCTGAACCCCGGAGTACCACATTCCGTAGTATACTTTCTATTGCCAAACTCCCGCATAGTTGCCAACCAGCGTGGCTGGCAGTGGACCGCCCGCCGCGAAAAGACGCATCCTCGTGCTGTCATAGCAGTGGGTGTAGATGGCAGGCACGTATTTCACCTGCTGGAATCCGTCCAAGTCATCCTCCGGGTACTGTAATCAGAAGTCAATCATTAACTGATTTAAAGGGAAACAAAACCCCCCAACATACCACAATTCCTTTACTGCATTTGAGGGCGACAGTCCGGGAGGCATTTACGCTGCTCTCCAGATACTTTCCGGCTCGTATATCATAGAACAGAAGCATGCCTAGGCCAGTGCCGACAGTTAAGAGGTTGCCCTCGAAGGAGGTCGCTCGAATGCCGCATCCACTGTACCGGGAGGTGATCTTCTTGATGGTCTGCAGGGTGCGTGCGTCCAGTAGGATGGTGTAGGAGCGACAGCCGACCGCATATAGGCCATCGTTGTGATAGGCAATGCTCACGTTGTCCTGGCAGTTGGGTAGCTTGCGAGAGAGTGACTGCTTGAAGGTCTCCGCATTGAAGATGTGTATGTAACCGTTCAGCGAGAGGGCGGCTATCTCCTTGAACTCCGTGTTGAAGCACAGGGAGCGTATCTGTTGGGGGAGGACAGTAGTTAGTTCCACATCCATTCAGCAGCTCCTATCCATCGTTTTACCCTTTGTGCAGTTCGCACTTCCTTAACACTAAGCGGGTGAATGGTGGCAAAGGTGGGACACGCCTCCTCGCCGCCATCTGGAAACTCCATATGATCCTCGTTGATGCGCCAAAGGGCCATGCGCGAGTCCTTCGAGCCGGAGACCAGAAACTGATCGTCCAGCCAGCACATGCCCATGATTAAGTCTCGATGTCCGTTCTCCCCCACGCACACCGGATCCAGCGTGGGCAGGCGATACACAGCAATGTCGGAGGAGTTGCGTGCACCGGTGGCCAGAAACGAGCGACTAGGCGACAGCTCAATGGCATGCAGACCTCCCTGAACCTCCGGATGATTGGCCCGACTGTTGGACAGCGTTGGAATGGCGTCCACCCGCCGCATGTTCACATCGTAGACGAGCAGTTTATTGCACTTGGTGCCGAACACAACCTGCCGGTTGCTCAGCCACTTGGAGCAGAACACTTTGTTGATGTAGCCCAGGTTGATCTGGGTCTCGCGCAGCATGTCGTGGGTGAGCACGTATCGACTGGTATACTCCACATTGACGCTGCGCCGCTGCAGGTGGTCGACGGAAAGATAAAGATCAGAGCAAAGTTCATATTTGTTAGAAATGCAAATGAAATCTTTGTATTCAATGTATACCCACATCCTGGAGAGCACTCTCTCTGCTCCTTAGGTAGTCGCATAGGTTGTAGGATGTGTGGAGCACCTCATCCTGCTGCTGGGGTGTCTCCTCGTCGCTGCCCGAGTCCTCGTAGGTGACAAAATCGTCCGGCTTGTCTGGTTTTCGCCTGCGCTCCTGGCGCATCGCCCTTTGCTTTGCTTTCCGCTCCTCCAGGCGAGTGCTGACATGGCAAGAGGGGTAGGTTCCGACGACGCTGTCGCGGATCGTTCTCACCATGCCATTGAACATCTTGTGGGCGTTTTACTTCGTCCAAATTAAGCGTTTCCTCTATAAATTGATTCTGTTCTCCATTGTCCAAACAAAAATGGTGGTGCGTAAAATAGGGCTGCAAAACAATCGGTGGCACTATCGATAATATATTGCTGCAGCAGCAACACAGATATTTACTCTATCGATGCATGCCCTAACTATCGTTTATAGAGATGGACATCCATCAGCTGTTTGAGTTTTCACAAACAAACATTTTATTGTAAATAAAAATGAATCACAATACAAAACGTGTAATGCGACAGAATTCGGTATGCATTTTAACCAACGACTTGGCCTCGTCGCCGGTGATGCTAGCACCCACACCGCCCTCGGCCCCCACCACCCCCCAGCTGCAGACCGTAGAGGACATCAAACCGATTCATGTTCAACGCCAGGTCATCCTGCTGCAGAGCGGAAACATAGCTCAGACCCCGGCTCCGCCACACGGTGCTGCGCCGCAACATGCTAATATGGCCGCACCCAGTGCCGTCAATGCCAACAGTGTGGGAAACCCTCCGGTACAAGACGATGCTCCCGTCTCGCTGCTCACGGAGATTGCCGACATAATGCGCAGCTTTGGCGACAGCGATCAGCCGCGCACGGCCAGCGTTAAGCTGGTGGAACAGATCCTCCAGCAGCAGCTGAGGGGCATCTTCAACGAGGCGTCTCTGGTCGCTATGCGCCGCAAACAGAATCCGTGTCCCTCGCAGGCCGACTTTGAGTTTCTCATGCGCAATCATCTGGTAAAGATTGCCCGCATGCGGAAGCACCTCAAGGATATGCGTATACTAAAGAGATTCCTCAGCATTAGGACGGGGAGGCAGGACTTTATGGACGACCTGGAGCAGCAGGAGGAGGATGAGGAACTGGCCATCGAAGTGCACGAGCTACACGATGAGGACCGCATGCGGCGCCTGTTCCGAGCCGACCGCATTTCTCAGATCCTCACCGGCCAGCAGTACCTGGAGTTCAACGAGGCCCGCAAGACTTCCTTCTACTGCCGCCACGGCGAGAAGATAAAGAACAAGTTCCGACGCTTCCTGGACCTGCCCGCTGATCTGCGCATCCCCACGCCCACCATGAACATCCTGGCGTATTTGGCTCACGAAACTATTGCCGCCATTGTCGATTACTCGATTCTTACACGCCTGAACTCGGACAATCGAGCCACTGAGCCGTACAGTCGGGTGACCTCGGCCGGCGGCAGTCCTGCCATGATGCATGTGTGTCCCGAGGTCACACAGGGTCGAGGCATGGAGGTGGTGAAGCCCATCAGCGTCCAGGAAATACATGAGGCTATGCGTCGCTTTCGGCAGATGAGTAGTCGCAAGATTGGTCGCTATCGGAATTCCTGCGACATCGATTTTAGAAGGAGCTTTTTAGCAATTTAAAAATTATTATAAAAGATGAAAGGAGCAGTAATGGTAAACGACCGATGGATAATTATTGCTTCAATTTCAAAACATTTACGCTCAATTTTATTGGAATAAGAATCTTTAAGGAATTAATAAAAGATACTCAAGCAAAATCCCTCGAATTTCTTACGAGTTTTCATGTACTTGTAGTTCATTCTCCTTTCACATGTGTGCTGTATGTACAATGTACATATGGCTATCCATAAATCCATATATGTAGGCTACATTTAAGCAACAATGGCGCAGAATTTCCGTGAAACTTCGCCCCTCTCCGTTAACCGTCGTGGGGAGTCGATAAATTGAAACGGTAAACGATGTTGAAACAGGCACCGACAGATAAATAAAAGCGCAATAAAGAAATTTGCCGCACTCATACAAACACATACAGGAACACACATGAAAGAATGCCAAAAGACAGACAAAATAAAAAACAACAAAGGCAACAAGGAGCCATGCTGCCACGATGCCGCAGGAGCAGAAAAATGCAGCAGAGAGAAGGCGTTAAGAGAAGCAGCCCGCGAGAACGCACTTAATAATCAACTTCCTATTGTGCATACAAATGTGTGTGTGTGTGTGTGTGAGTGCGAGTTCGCGTGTGAGAGAGGAAGAGAGTGAGAAATGGATGAAGATCTGGCTGACCTGACAGAGATGCCAATTTGTTTTTTGACTTCAACAATACATTCTGACCTTAACTTTTAAGTCACTAACTAATTTTAAATTAGATTTTCTTGCTAATATTTTACTTGGCTGGGAAGATAAACTGCTTGCGGGATAGTTTCCAAAGAAAAGGAACCAAACCTTCAGATTTCAGCGATGGATATATAGGATAATTTCCTTTTATGTTGCACAGCTTGAACTACTAAGTATGTATCCAAGATACATTCTACAGATTCTATATACTCGCATGTATTTAAACGGGTGGATCCGGCTATAGCTACATAATTTAGTTCATAAATCTCATATTGAACAGAACAACCCAACTCTACTGGTTCCGCTCTTTGCTATCCCTTTGCCAAAGGCAGAAGCCATGTTGTGTCTGCGGTAAATGGAAGAGGAGAGGAATGCGGCTGCCATCCTTCTTAGACTGCTTGAGCATCCCCCTGCTCTCACTCTGTCCTCCTCTCTGGCTAAACGCTTAATGTTGATTGCTTTCTGCTGCAACTGTAAATTCAACGGCACATTATTCTTAATCGATTGCTCATACGCTTAACGAGCAGGTCGGGGCCCCGGGGACTCTCGTTCCGACCAAGTCAAAAGGCTCCTCGATGGCCAGTTAATGAAAACAAGCTGCCTGTGACGAAATTAAGCCAAAAAACTTGTTTCTTTTTCTCTCTTATGCTCCTTGTGTTATTCTTTCCTCCCAACCTCCTCATTGACAGACTCTCTCCCGCTTAATGTTACAAAATTTGCATTTCATGCGGCTCTTCGCATTCTCCCCACCATTCAGCCCCATCATCATCATCATGATGGTCGTCGTCCTCGTCCTTGTCCTCCTCGACGGCGTCGTCATCTCTTCGTATTGTCAAGTCACGTAGCCAATTTCCAGGCAGGCTAAAGTCAATATGCCCCAAACCCAGATGACAGAGTTTTCCCTCAACTGCTCTTAAAGAGGAGGAACAAATTATAGACAAAGAGTATACTAACATACGTATATATGAACCGTTTACCAAACGATGTCTCATTGCAAGCGGAAACTTTGAAGGTCAGATAGTTTTGGCGGGTAATAATCCTTTAAACAATGTATTCTTATGGTGAGCAGCCCTTTTATTGAATAGCTAAGCAGGGTGCGGAAGAACAGTCTCCACATTGTCCTACTCCTCAGAGTGCGTCTGCCTGACTGCTTTTAATATTCGCCAGATGAGACATTCGCTTCGATTAAAGAAGAGGAACAAATTATAGACAAGGAATACATTATATGAACGAGGATAATCCGTTTACCGAAGGATGTCTTATTGAAAAAGAAACTTGCCAACGGAAACTTTGAAGGTCGCTTATGCAGTTTGGTGTGGCAATAATCCTTTCAACAATGTATTCAAATGTGTGTGCAGCAGGGAATATAGAGTGGAAAAGTACCCACATTGTGCAGCCTCCTGAGGCTTTGCCACTTTTCTTCTTTGCCGCTGAGTAGAGTCAAAATGCCCCAAAAACCAAGATGACATTGTGGCCTTCACTGTGACATATGGATATAAGAATATTCATAAAATCACAATAAAAAATGGTGTAGTTTATTTATTTGCTACAAATTTAAGAAAATGTTCCACATATTCCTCCAAGATTCCTTCTACAACTCTTCTGCGCCTCAGGCTGTCAATACGAGAATTGCAATTAGATATTTTGGAAAATCCGTTCATCTGAACTTTTTTAATTACTTTCACTTTGGCCAAAAACTTGCTGACGTCAGTCCAAGGCAATTTGTCCCAATAGAAGCAGCCACCTCTCCAAGGAGCCTTCTCCATTGACAGATGCCAAGAGCCGGACCAAACAAGGACCAAGAAAAAAGCAGAAACAAAAACAGTCTTAGAGATAGACGCATATTACACGGCCTTTTAATTTGAAACCGACTTGAATTGTGTTGACACAAGTACTCGGGCTAAATACGTATGTACTCGAAGGTATGTGTGTACGCCGGAGCGCTGGTCTTATTCAAAATGAATGAGATTAGACGCCACCAGCAGACAGACGGACGGGGGATCCCCATTCCGCCCACTTTATAAGCACAGCCGGAGGCGCCCATGTTCCGTTGTCAGAGCTGGAGACGCTTTCATGGTCATGCCACTCTGTGGGAGTCTCACACGAGGTGAGAACTCTAAGAAAACTCTCTTCATTTAATTAGTAAAGTGGCAAAAACAATTCAATATTGGATGAAATATCAAAATACTTGACCTACTTACCCATCGGCGATTTAATTAGCCCTAAAGGTAACAATTTACGTGCAGAATTTTTGAACTAAATTAAGTTTTATTGGAGTGGAGCAACAGCATATACTCGTATACTCGTGTGTTCAAACGGTAACGAAGGATTAAAAACCATCAGTAGAGTTACTTATGGTTTATGTGAAGCGTTATTAATTTATGTTTTATTTGATGCGAAAGTTTTTTTCGTAGATAGATTGATAATGACTACATATGCATAGGTCCATCCATATAAATATGTATTCTAGCTATAAATAATAAAACATTAGCATTCAAATTGTTGATACCACAGATTATTTTATGATAGACCATATTATTTTATTTTTTTTATTTATGATGCATTGTACTATATATGCACGCATTGAGAGAAAAGTGGCATAGTAAAATAGGTCCCACACATATTAAAATTAAACAATTGATTTTTAAATATATTACACCAAAAATATTAATTAAACAGGAAATATATTCAATTTAAATACGAAATATATTTAAAACTAGTATGAATATTTTATTATTTACAACTAATATTTTCATACTAAAGTCAAAACGTAAGTGAAAACCCTTTTTCACTCGGTGTATTTAATGGTATCTACAAATAGAGAGCAAATGCATCACATTTACATTTAATATACATAATATTAATAATTTAATAAAATTTCCGTTAATTTCCCAAATTTTTATAAAAACGCTGTATTTCTGTTTCCATCTTCGGATATACCAC